CCAGGTAACAAGTAATAGGAAAAGAAATAGCTTCAATTTGCCAAGGACAGGCGTGGTTTAGACTGGATATTAAGGAAAACTTCTTCACAGAGAGGGTGTCAAGCACAGGAACAGGCTGTCCAGGGAAGTGGTGGGTCACCACCCATGGAGGCATTTAAAAGATGTGTAGATGGGGCATTTAGGGACATGGTTTAGTGGTGGACTTGGCAGTGCTGGGTTAACAGCTGGATTTGATGATCTTAAAGGTCTTTTTCACTCTAAACAATTTAATGATTATAGATTGACACTGACCTGAAAAAACTTTGTGATAAACATAAAGGAACAAATGAAATGGATTTAAAGCCAATGCATGAAACTTAATAACCATGATAAACAGAGTAATACTTGCCTTAGGTTATTCTGATGCAGTAGCTATTCATTACATTCATTCTGTGAAAGGTGCATTTGTAAAAAGTGCAATTTCAAAGAGAACAAGATTAGATTCTATGAAAACTGTTAATAAATTCTGCTCACATGCCCAATCTGGTGCTAGCCAATTTAACACAGATTATGTGAAAACAAAACTACAATTTGAAGCTCCATTTTTACTCAAACAGAATGTTAGCTATGGAACTGTGTTGTAGACATATGCTTATCTAGCTTTTTTGCTTTTTTCCAGTTATTTTGTTTTGCAATATAATTTACATAATCACTAATGTTACTATTACTCAAATATGCAATTAAAAAATCTTGGTATTCTGGTTTATAATGGGTATCAACCCTCCACAGTGCAGCTATTTACATAATTACTATAAATGCACCATCAGTAACTAAATTGCATGTCCCTGTGTTACTCTTTCGCTCCTATAATCTCTTTTACTTTGACTAGCTCCTATTTTTAGATTATTCAAGAAGTTTTCCAGTAATAGTAAGGCTGCATTAACTTCACTTAGCCTGGGTTTTTTTTTGAACAAAGCAGAAAAATGACTGATTTCATAGGAGCAAATAATTAGACATGCTCTGTCAGTCCCCAAATCCAGCATCTTGCTGTTGCACACCACACACTGCCCTGTCTATCTTTTTGCAAGCAACATGTAAAAAGTAAAAAGTAGCCAGGGTTTTTTTTTGCCCCCAAATGCTTAGAAGGATATTCCAGAATTTGATTACTCTATTGAATAAAAATTATCTTCCATTTCCATCCTAAACTTAATGTTATGTTTTTCATATTTAAATGCTGGGTATAAACCAGTTGTGGTTACTGCTGCTTAAATGGTGTTTGCTAGTTCACCAAGTGTGGTCCCCAGCTATAACAGAAAGTGTATTTGCTGTCCTTCATTAAACAGCTGCAAAGGAGGGAAGAAAGTCCCTGAAAAGCAATTTCCTACTGACAGTCCTTCTTGCTTATTTCAGTGTTCCCTTTACTTTAAATTTGAATTCCTCTTTTTGCTGTTCATCAATGTTTTGTATTGGATGTGTAAAAGTCCTGCTCAAGCCAAGCCACTGAAACCATGGAGCAGGAAGCATGTCCCATCCTGCAACCCCCCCCAGTCACTTCGCCACCAGCCAGCTGTGGTTAAACCTTCACTAACACTGCAGTAGAAGCTGCCCTCAGGAGCAGGGGAGTTAAAATCATCTGAAATGGTCCCTGCTTCAGCACAGGCCTCCACTGCCAGCCATCACTGTGCAGGTGCCAGTGGGGACACATGGGGATATGTCCTGGCTGGAAAATGAACCCGTGCCACTGGCAAAATGGAAGGCAGGAAGCAGAAGAGGAGAGTGCTCTTCAGCTGGTGAAAAAACGTGAACTTTTAATGGGTGTTACAGCTTTGACAAAAGGCACTGTCAGATCAGGGTAAGCCATCACCAGGTCTTCCTCTGTGAGACAGTTCCTCCGAGCAAACACCCTTCAGACTTCAGAGCTATTCAAGTACCTAAACTTGAGTCTTGTGCCCTACAGAGACCCCCGTTTCCAGCTGCTGCCTCAGACAAGGGTCTCATTCTGCCCCTGGGTCTCCAGAGGGCCTGTGAGTATTTGTCAGGCCTGTGCAGACATCTTGGACATCCTTTAATGCAGATTCTGTAAAATACCACTAGATGCTTGATTAAACCCCTGAATATTTCTGTACTGTCAACTTCATTGTATACAAAAATCACATTTACAGTGATTAAATGAGCTTTTTCTAGTTTGCTGAGAACAGAATAGCCTACCACCACCAGCAGTTTGAATTTCCAGAATTCCAGGTTGCGATACCAGAAATAGAGAAAAACTTGTTCTTACTGAGGGACAAATAGCAACAATTTCATAGCTTGATACCTAAGGGAAGACATGTTCTTTTGTCTCTACGTTTCTGATTTTCAGCATTCACAAGTCAGCAGAACCAAGATATCAAGCACCTTAAAAAAACTGGTTTATTTTTATCTATTTGTAACATTACTCAGTGACAGATTTTCTGTGCTGTGGGTTGCAAAGTTTCTCTTTATCGTATTTATACGTGACTGCAAGCTACAGATTGTAATAAACATGCATCTTGCTGAAAATGTTATGTTTATTTGGATAATAAAGCCCCATGAGATTAAATATTTTAATTACACATGCTTCTGGTTTTTTGCTATAAAACATGTCAGGAAAAAAAGGCTTAAAGAAACAAGCCTTCTAATGCCTTTGCGAAGTTTTGCTGAGCCTAATTTGTAATGCTTCCTGTATATAAGATGAAGAAGAAATGAGATACATAGAAATATAGCAGCTTGTACTTTCATCAGGAAAATATCAATCAGGCAGGTACAAGAAAATAATTGACACTACTGATTAGTCTGTCCTCAGCACTCCTGTATAAGCAACTCACACAGACTCTTGACACAGGAGAAAAATATCAAATATCAAATGCCACAAATCCCTTTTAAAATCCTCAGATACACGTGTTTCCCTTCCTTGTGTAAACAAACAAGAGGAGAGCAGTAGCAAAATGGAAGGTCTGTAGCTCCCCAAGCATCTTCTGGTAAGACGTTTTTTGTATTCAAGGTGTGTTGCTTGCAATGCAACTCAGAGGTTTTTGTGCTGAAATATGTTTCTTGCTATATCTATTTCTCTGCATTTTTAGATTAAGACTTTCCCATCAAGCAATGGAGCATGATCCGCTCCTACCCCCACAAGGGCTTCCTGTCTGTTTAGTTTGGTTAGGAGGGATCTGGCCCTAGAATGGTGTAAGGAAGTCTGGTTTGAAAGTTTCTTGAACCTGCTAACACACTGGAACATTTTCTCCCATAGATGACTTGGTATGTCTGCTTTCAGATAGCACAGGACTGGAAGAATGGAGAAAAGCTCAGTTCAATAAAGCTGTGCTGACAACCCTTTCAAACCACAGAGGGCAATAAAGTACATAGAAATTATCCTGCAATTACCTTGCAGGAATCAGTTATTTGCTAATGTGTTGGATTAAAAGTATCTATATGTGGAAATAATTTGGAGTGATGGGGACAATTTGGTTGATCTTGATTTAAATCCAGGAATCTATAGTCAAGCCAAACTCTGGTTGCTCTTGGTGGAAGATTATATTGGGTTTGTGTGGTAAAGTAGGGGTGGGGTGTGTGTGTACATTTTATGGGGTTTTAATCTGTTCTCTCTCTCTGCATCTGGAATAAGGTGGGTTTATAGATTAAATTTTTCAGACATGCCAACCCACTGTTCAGCTTTTCATTCAAAACTGACATCTTCCTTCTCTGGGGTTTCCTTGGAAACTGAAGCTGAAAAATTTTGCTAGGGCTTCAGTTCCACAGCTGCCCCCCCTCATGCACAGTATCTACTGAGTATGGGCAACTTGAATTAGTAGGAGAACACAGACTTTCTACAGGAGGGACTGAGTGGTGATTGTTTATCAGACTCTGAGCTGGATAAATGAAATGATCGTTATTCCAAATTGCTCCTTTTTCCTCCCAAATATGTAAGACTGAATGAGCTGCTGACCTGAAGTGGCATGCACTCTGGGAAAGTTTAGCAGAGACTCACAGCTAGAGGTCCTGAGCTTTCTCTAACCCACAGAGTCAGAGGGGATGGAAACCTCACACCAAGCCTGAGGACTGATAATCTGTAATCAGCCCCACACTCTGCCGAGTGGAGTTCAGGTTCAGTCTCAGAAGCTTTTACTTTTCATTTTTAATAGGAGAATTTGGTCCTGGCCATTGGAAACAGACTCAGCCACTGTACATATACACAGCATGTCTTTGTAGCTCTCAAAGTGTAAGTCTTCAATTCTGGTTAGGTTTTTTTTTCCCTTTCCTGTATGAATTTTCAAACTAGATGTTGGCTTAGAAGATAGTAACAAATGCTCCCATTACCCAGTGACTACTCAAAGGACCAGGTGACTACAGTGGCAGAGCAGTGACAAAACTTTATTTAGCACTGGGAGAGGAAAAGCAGGCCTTGCTCTGGATTCATGCTGATGTCCATTCATAACCAGACCACCCATTTCTGAGGACCTGCTTGTTTATGCTGGGGAGTTAACTTAAACTAGGAGCTACATCACATCTTGTGTGTTGATGGAGAAGTGCATCATCTGTCCATGACATCCCAATATGCTAACTCGCTTTTGCTGCACCCCCAGCCCTATCACAGTAGTGAGAGGGCTAGAGCAGCTCTGGTGAGCACCTGGTGCCCAGGCAGGGTCAACACACCTCAATTATTTTCTTCAAATTCAAGGTATTTCCAGATGTTGATATACAGATAACATTTGCCCACATCTGGATATGTAACCCTCTCTTAGTACAATTTGAAGAATGTTCTTCAGATATTTTGCAAAGATAATTGTAGTTATATCCAAACTGTAATACTTTGCAAACAGAGCTTTACATCTTTGAAACTCAGCCATTTAGACAAGCCTTTTCCTATTGGACTTTTGCTACAAACATGCACATTTGGAAGAACTTAAATATGAATTAGTAACTTTACCTACATAAGGAAAATACTGGATACACATTCAAGTAAACAAAATACACAATGTAAAGAAAATTCCACAGTTTTTACTCACTTTCTTTGTTTTGTCCATTGCCTTCAGTATGGTTATGTTTAAGTCTTCCAAGACTGATAAAACATTTTCATACTCTCCTAAGTGCTGGGAAAAGTATTCTAAAGGAAGAAAACCCATGTCAGCTATTAATGAAAAATTGGTGTTTCATGAAGTACCAATTTTATCATATCTGAATTCAGTTATGGTGTTATTAACTATCTAAACATACAAAATGAACAAGAGTTACAATGAAAATGATGATTTTCTTTTCCTTCAAAATCATTCCCAGAGTACTTAAAAATACTGTAAGCCAAATTGACAAAAATTTAAAATGTCAGTTTAAGAGCTGAAACAGACCAACAAAATATCTGCATTTTCTTTCTAAACTGGATTTCTAGTCTAACAGTTTACTTTACAGTTACTAGCAGGAAAAGAAGTTTTCATGTGTATGTACTAAATCTGATTATTTCCATATAAAAATGAGTAATTCTCGTAAAGCACTTAGAGGACATAAGATCAAGGGGGATCTGCTGTGAGTTGGGGTCAAGTCAGGAATTAAGGGACCATGAACTGGCCAGATAAGCTTCTAGTCCCAGGTACTGTGATGATATTTTCAATAATTATGATGTATGCAAAATGCTTTTAACAGAAATCATGGAAATAACATAAGTTGGGGGATATCCTTGCATAGATGCTCAAAGCAAAGGACATTTTAACAGAGAGAGCTGATGTAAAATCACAGTGCATAACTCAGAGGCATTACAGTGAGAGGATGAGGCAAAGGTGGGAAATCATGACCCAAGTTCCCATTTGGCCAATGTGATGAGACACAATAGAGAGAGGCACAGAGGGGAAAAAGCATGAAAAAAATAATGTTAAAGCTAGAGGCTGTGTTAGGCAAGGCACTTGGACAGCAAATCACCTGGAAGGGCATAAAAAACAACATCTAAATAGCAGACAGGAAGAATAAGATTTCTGAATCTTTCTGAAACAACAAATAGCAATACTTTGAGGCTTTTTAGAGGTCAGCATGAACATCTTGAGGGAGTCACAAAACATAAGGTTTCAAGGACACTGAAACATAACCTGGTATTGCTGAAAGATTGAATGAAATTATTTAGAACAAACATGTATTGTGAATTAGCATCCTGGAAATGAAGCTCCATTTCTGACAACTCGAGTAACTCAGAAAGAACTGTATAATCAGTAGGTTAAATGTGTTCAGTAAACTTAGTACGAGGTTCACAGATGAGAAACACCCTAGTTAGTAACCTGTGAACGATTTAAAAGGCAGCTGAAGTAGCCCATGTTTAACAAAAACAGAATGACCATCAGGCTGACACCCCCAGCCCCAGCCCTCTGGCCCTGTAAGCCTTCAGGAGCACATCAAGAGCAGTAAAACTCTTGTAGAACAAGGCCACCTGCCTTCCTTGGCCAGTTTTATACCATTTTGGCCAGATGTTCAACCAGAAGTCATCACAGCCCAAGTCACTTCACCTGAGTCGCTTGCCATGTATTTACAGGCCACAGGCCGAGTAGGTTCTAGGCCATGGGTCGAGTCGCTGTGTGTGAGTAAGTGAGCTGGCATGGAACCTGACAGCATTTTCAGCTTTTATAAGTCTTTACACTGGCCAATGGAATAGTTATCAGGCTGTCATCTTTTCCTCAGAAATAGGCTGGTTTTAACAAGCATAACTGGATTTTTTTTTTTGATGCTTTGTGGGAGGACTTGTAGAAATTCCCTGTGGATTGTTTTCTGCTGCAAACAGCACTCCTAAAGCAGGTGCTGTAAGAAATCACAGCTCAGAATGTGATACAGAAATGGGTAACTGGGCCTTGCAAGAAGGTTTTTTTCCTTGTGGGGAAGGATGATAGAGCTTGCCAAACTGCTGTTATCACTGGCTCAAGTTGGAGGGACACAAGGAATTTTCTTCCAGTGGGTTACTAATATGACAATCTCTTTCAAAATTGCCAAAGCATACCTGTGAAAGTGATAAACCAACTAGAAAAAATATCTCACAGGAAAGGGAAATAAGATAAAAAATTATCTATCAGAACAGATCTTGAAGCTCAGAGAATGTGAAGTATTGATTAGGAAAAACATTTTCAAAGTAACTTCTGCAAGTAATGGATGACAGAGTGTAAAAAGGCTGCGAGTCATCTTCATTTTCCCAGTTCTTTCAATTGAAACTATTCCCTGTTTGAGCTACAAAGATTAAACAGAGAAAAAAATTGTATCACATGATACATTCACTTACGCAGGGCTGCCAAAGGCATACATTGTTCTCGAACACACAGACTATATATTCTTGCCCAAAAAGGAACTTACCGCAGAGCTCTTCTGTGTCAAGGTTGCTGGAAAGATAAGAGTATAGAAGGTTAGTAAGCTTGGTAATTTACTTTTGTTGGATTGGTAAACAGGAGGACTTAAAGATTAGCCTGACTCAAGGATCAGCCTCCCTATCTGGGCTGTAGCAGGAGATGTGAGTGCCTGGCTCTTGCTGGCCTTGCTCTTCTGCCCTGGGGAGACTTGTCTAAGCTGAAGGCAATAGATGTGCTGCAGCCTTTCTGAACGTGGCTGCAGGTACAGTCTCCCTTCCCAATCGTAGGCTTGTTTGGGTTGGAAAGGACCTTAAGATCATCCAGTTCCAACCCCCTGCCATGGGCAGCGACACCTTCCACTAGACCAGGGTGCGTGTTCCCACTAGCACCTTCCTGCTCACCAACAACCCTCTTTGGGGTTCCTCCCCCAGGCTTTGTGAATCATGGTGCAGAGTCATTGCTCCTCAGGATTTACACACTTGGTACCAGTGCTGGCAGAAATCCATCTAAGCACCATAAATTGTTTGGGGATTTTTTCCCCCCCCATCTTTCTGCCCATACTCCTTTTCTGTTGTTGTTGTGCTGGACAGCATGGCTCAGAGAGCTTAATTCTCCATGCTAAATGAGGGAAAACTTGGTAACTTTCTCCTGTTTACAATCCGCACTCTGCAATAGGGTTCCATTGGAGAGACAGTACAGTAGGAGGATAAACCCAGACATAGCCCATCAGCATACATAGTTCCTAAGAATTTCTGGAGATAGAAAACCATTTCATCAGTACTATAGCAAAATTAGTGATGTGAAAAGCATAGCTGTATTGCCATATTCCCATGCCAACATTATTAAAATACATAAATACATTCAAGTATCATACAATTCAAACCTGTTCACTTGAAACAGACTTCATCTTGAACAACTCTAACTCTTAAGCAGTATTTTCTCTTTGAGGCCTTAACAGTCGAAAGAAAAAACATTTGACCTACAGCTCGGTTCTGAAAGTTAGCACATTGACTCTCTTCCAAGGAGGAGAAGAAACTGATTATTAAAGAAACTTAAAAGCATGAACGTCCTTCTTGAATCTTGCTGAGGGGTGAATACTGAATGGCTTATTGCACTTAGGATTTTTTCACTTATCTTTTTAATGGGATTTTTTTATTGACCTTTTAATAAAATGATGACACAGAGTTATCTTAAAGTCAGTTTCAACAATGTTAACTGCCATACATCTGGCTTTTATTTCATGAGGGAGAGAAACAGACAGAAATTACATGATCCTGGGTTGTTACAAACTTGCATACTCAGGGCTATAAAGACTTCTGAACACTTTTAACTGATTATATAAATGAGAATTTCCTACAACTTTTATCAATTGAAGGTGACCTTATCTGCATTTGAACAGGCCAAGCTGGATGGCTGCAAATGAGTCTTGCATCTGATTTTTCCAGGTGCCCTGGTGGCAGGTATAATTCATGGTCTGTAAGAACTGGTGCTGAAGCTGAAAAACTTAACTCTTGGATCAACTAAGTATGTGATGGGGAAAAGTGTCTGCGACTCCTCAAGGCTGTTCACCAAAGATCATGGCTGCATCCATTATCAAACGTGTCTCTTCAACCACTTCTACAGTTCAGCAGTCATTTTTGGAACAGTCCAGATATTCACTTTTTGAATTCAAACTGAAACCCTGAAAGGTGGAAAATTGCCTGAATCAAAAGGCAGTGACAGAATAATATTAAATGACAGAATTCGCTGTTATAATGTCCCTGCATTTTCTGCCCCTTCACATCATCTGCCCTAGTACATTCTCTCTTAATGGACAGCTTGATAACTGTGTTTTAAACAGCCTTTCACACTGCTTAGCAAGTTGAATTCATGTTCTCTTTTCAAAATTCATACTGAAATCCATTCTGGCCCTTATTTTTCTGCAGTATCCTCAGCAGTGTGGTAGTGATATAGTAAGGGAGTGGTTCAGAGGCTTTCAATGTTGTGGTCATGAGCACACTGCTGTTATTACTATTGACATGAGCAACACAGCTGCAAATGGACTACAAGTGAAAATGGTAAAGTATTTAGCTGCTGAATTTTTTCAGTTAGAAATGGGCACCTGAACAGTGAGAACACTATTGTTCAATGTGATTTATGCAGCAGCTTTTAAGAAGCCTGTGACAGAACGTAGAAATGACATAAAGAGCATGGATTTAAGTCGAACATACTCATAGTATTTCCTTCTCTATTGCAAACACCCTCTGAGGCTCCATTGTTCTTGACATTCTGTTTGAAAGGGATGCTCATCTAGGAAGGGAAACTATAATTTCTTGTCACTGATTATTTCATTTGCTCAGAAATAATAACATGCTGCTTTAAACAGAGTCATGAACAAACCTAGGAGTTCTTTTTCTGTACACAAACAATTGTGAGCTCTCTGCAGTATGCTACAGAAACAACTGAAGAAGTCTGAAATATATTTAGTAGTACAGCAGTAAGGTGCACGCAGAGGGCTGTTTCTGCATCTCAGTACTCAGGTTTATAGTTGGCACCTGTTAATCATTTCAATGGGCTTGTATGCCAAGGATGCTTCTGCTTAGACCTATAATCTGGTAATGCTGAACATGTTATTTGCAGTATTTGCTGGATGACTCACATCCAGCACTCCATTCATGATAAGCACCTGAGGCAGAGGGTGCAGCCAAATGCATTCACGTCATGTCAACATGATATTTTTTCATGTGCTCTCAGTTTGCTTCCTGAGTACTAAATGCAGCTGTTTTGCATGTCTTGCTTCGTGTCAAAAAATGTCTTCTACCTAACATGACCTATTTTTAGAGGACTGTTGTAAATATTCCACTGAGCAGTCCTGATTATTGCAACGTTGATCATACCTGTTGCTCAGTGACAGAAGCTTTAAGCAAATTCACTTCAGTGAACCATGGCAGAAGTGCCTATTTGTGATACATCTGGAAGAAGCTCGAAATGTAGTAGTTTAAAGCAGCTGTGATCATGCTCTTATTCTGCCCACCACAGTCAGGTGTGAACTGGGGCCAGCCAGGGAGGACGGAAGGTTAAAGCTATTCCACCCATTCCATTGGTGTGAATTCACCAGTCCACAGCGCAATCCACTGACCTGACACATACTGTTCTCTGGAAGAAAAGGCACCTCTAGGCAAAGGTACCAGCAGAAGATCTGTATATTTTCTCTGGACCACAAGAAGAGGCAGTGGCATCTCTTCAATACAGGAATTATATATAAATCATGGACTCTAGTGTCCAAAGAAGCTATTTTATTGAAGAATCCATATATGAAAGACTTTCTGAACTAACTTAATTTAGGAAATTCATTGCCATGAGTACCGTAGCTGGAGAAGGATAGCACTTTCTTTTTCAGATCTCTCTTCATTCTCAGATATAAGAGAGACTTATTTCAGAGGCTTAAACCCACCCTTTTTGTTGGGTCCCATTTGCGCATCTCTTTGCTAAATCTGGTTTCAGGGACGAAAGTTCAAGGCTGGTATCTCCTATTGTTAAGTAGAAGCATATAATTTGTGACTGAAAGGAATTAAATGTTACTTAGACTGTGTAACTGAATAGACATGCATAGACAATCTCAGCCAAAAAGATGTAAGTTCTTTGCAACAAGAAAGCCTGCATACCATCCCACTTCAAGTCAGCAAAATGAGACATGTGCCCGAGCACTAGACAAGGGAGAGGAGGAAGAAGAGGTAAAAGTGGGACAGACCTCCCGGGACTGGTCCTTGGGAAACCAGACTTGCTGCTCCCCTGAGGACACCTCTGCTCTTCAACCCCAGGGCTAGCTCGGCTCTGCAGCTTCTGGGCTTCTAAAGGCAGTGACCAGCTTAGCTCTCTGGGCTGTGACATGCTTTGTGTGTGGCAGGACTACAGAACAGAGTAAAGGTTTTTTTTTTCCCGACTAACAATTCATCTGAAAAAGAAGCCCAAACCTAGTCCTTTGATAGGCAGTGATTCACAGGAATATGATGACTACATAGCTGGCTAGCCACCTTAATCATCCAAGCTGTAACAGTCTCTGTGTTGCTAAAAGTATCTTAATGGTACTATTAAAAGTTGCAGCGCATGATAAAATCTGTAGATAGCTCTACAAGGGCTGCAGAGCTATGATTTTTGAGGAGATGTGAGGCAATACCATGGTGGGGTTTTTTTGCCACAAGGAGCAAATTTCAGAGTTTTCACCCATAGAAGTTGATGGTTCAAATTCTAGTTCTATCCCCAAATCTTTTTTAAACTGTGTTTATTTATTGTTATACAAAATTGTTTATTGATACACAAAATGTTTATTTTGTTTATTAAACTCCTTGGAAATGCACATGTTGATAGACACAACAAGCCTGCTGTGATTCTTTAGGAAACCCAGATTATGGAAAGGACTAGGCCCTCAGACTACACCTACCATTAGGCAATGAGCTCACTGCTTGGAAGCCAGTGTTATCTTCTGAAGAACTGAACTGATTCTAGGTCAACTATATTTAGGTCAATGCAACTGAAACTCTTTATTACAGTTTGATCTTCCCACTGTAAGTGATTTCCATTTTTTTCTGCAGAAGGCTGAATTTCCCATTAAAAATAACCATTTATATGGAAAATTTCCAAGCAACTCTATTTGCAACTTGTCTTCCTGGCCAGAGGATCTGTTAGCATCAGTACTTGTGTAAATCATTCTCAGTGAACTTGTTTTGTTCAGTCATGAAATATCAAACTATATAATTAGCTCACAGTCTGACCAGTCTCTTGCCTTTTTCTCTGTTCTTCATTTCCAACTGATTTATATAGCTATTGTTTTGAAAAGTGATAGTTAAAACTAATAGCTGCGATTGTGTCTCTTAAACAGTAGCAAACACGCCTTTCTGATGTCAGTGCTGCACCATACGCCTGAAATTCTTATTCAGTCTAAAAAATCTGGTTTAAAAAAAACACTCAAAACCCACTGTATTATTTTACCCACTATATTATTTTAGTAATGCAATTTTTTTGCATTCAATAATTCCTTTTTAGAAAAGCATTTT